GAAAAGACCTGAGAAGAGATATTTTCGAATTAGTCATGTCCTTATGCTAATAAGTAACTTGCAAAAAAGATTTTTCTTCAACTCGTCTGCAAAAAAACTCCAGCCAAATCTATTTCGACTTCATATGGAAAGAGATTATTCTGTTATACTTGTTTCCAAGTTTCATAAATGTGTGATTTAAGAAACTGGATTTATGAAGACAGGGTATCCCAAAGAAGCTCCCCAACTATCTCTTTTTTTTTCTATGTAACAATACTGGGTTATAAATAAACCTTGTGGCACTAATCTGACATTCGTATCCAACCATGGTAAGTCCTTGAAAAGATTTTTAAAATCAGTAGCGAAACTTGTTTGAAAAATAAACTCTAGGACTGCTATGTTCTAGAGCACATCACATTATCTATGGGAATAACTTTTTTCGATATTACTTGTCATGATAAACTAAGAATTTTGTCAGTCTGTCAAATGGAACAGAAATAATTTCTACGATTAAAATTTTATAACTTTATTCATACACATTTGGTAAACTTCCAAATAAGAAAAAACACATAAATTGAATGTGCTCTATAATATAGGATATTTGAAATTTATTTTGCAAAAAATGTTTTAAGACCAGTTTTCAAAAATTTTAGCTCAAGAATAATGGGCAGCTATGTAATCAGAACCGCAACTAACACCTATACTCCATTTTATCTCAGGAAAGTACAATGAGTCACTTGAAGAAATTTCCATTCTTAATTAGATCACTCGCTTTCTCTAGAATTTCGATTGCTAATTTTTATGAGAGAAAAGAAATTTTTTTCATTGAGAGATGAGATATTTTTATCATTATTAAAATATAGAATTCATGATCTCCATAGGATTACCTGCGTCTGTGTGAGTCCCAATGATGCGGCTAATTCAGCTCGTTCTGGTAACGCTAAATATTGTGTGCGTTGAAAACGTTTATTTAATTGTTGTAATTGTAAATTAGAGTAAATTGTTCGTGGTTTACGAATTTTTTTGCCTTTTGGTGTGGTTTTTGAATGTACGACAGAAGATGAATCATTGATATTGTTTATCACTTTTTCTAAAATACACAACAAGATTCGATGTTTTCTCATGGAGCACCTAGTGTCAAATAATGTTTCAAAGCAACTGCCAGATGTCAGTTGTATTACTACCATTTTTACGATAGCGATGCAAGAGAAGACGAATATCGTTTAAAACTTTGGACATAGATGAGAGTAATGCTTTTGGACCGACTGTAAAGATCGTCATCCTTGTTAGACACTATAAACACACATTCTTCTAGATAGATTGCTTTTCATTGCTAACACTAACAAAAAATCATTATAGGATTTGGCCAGCTAACTGTGGTATCGCAGTGAAATTCCTTTACCAGCTTTCTGTATTTTGTTTTTCTTATAATTTTCGAATGATGAATAGACATGCAGCAGTTATATAACTGGGTATCAGGACCGCTACGAAAATTGTCATAACTCAGTCGTTAAGAATCGGCCCGAAGTGCAGAACATCTGGTTTTGTGGAGAAATGTTTGCTCTACGCACATATCGGAAGACAAAAGTTTATACTTAATTGTGACATAAATATCAGAAATTTAGAATACCATAACAGTACATAGTAAACGGTCACTAGTTATATAACTGTTCGTGTCACTTCAACAATTCGTTAAGAAAACTTTTCTCTCTTTTATTCTTTAATTTTTCGTTTAATGTAAATAGATAGACCAAACATTTCTCTACAAAATGAGACATCTAACAAGTAAAGGCGATTCTATACAACCGCCTTATAACAATTTTCCCAGATGCCCCATAAAACAGTCAGTAATAACTGGTCCATACCTAATGACGAGACACCCATAGCTCTGAAACATCTCCTATAAACTAAAAGAAAAGTGTGCTCAATATTTTGATTCCTTCCGACTATCACAGTCGAATAAAGGCAGTTAAATGCGTCAAATAAGCAAGTTCATCGCTGAAATTGTTTTCAACTAGTACGCTTGTATGGCTCTCAGATATCTAACAGGATTACAATTAGTAATAAGCTTCAGTACTTTGATATTTAGTTGACAGGAAATTGATCAATCTTGGTGAATTATGATAAATTAGTTGAATGTTAAATACTGGTATTTCTTTGCTAATGCGAGAGGGAAAGAGAAGGATTTCTACCAAACAGCTCATTTTCTTACTTACTATTAATACTTGTGTTTGACATTGCATAATATGATTTCGTTGCTGTACTTGCGCATTGTGACGTTGTTGATGGCGGAGGATAAAGAGTACTCATCGTCACATTAACATTCATGTTTAATGTAGGCACTTTTGGGAACGAATGTGAGTAGGTGACGTTATTTTTAAAAGAATCCGTTATAGTAAACAACGACGAATTACACGAATGAGACGCTGATGAAAAATGATGATGATACGATGAATGATACGGTGATCTACTTGATGATGTGGAGGTGGATGATGAAACATTGGCATTAGTAGAATCATATAATGAATTTGTTTTTTCAGAATTATTCGAAACTGAATATTCCTGATTTTGATCGGTTGGTAAATGATTTGGAAACATTTTTTAATAGACAAGACTATCATGCAATATAAGACTTTTTCTTGCTATAAGTTTTAAGACTATACTGCATCGCAATTTGTACATAGTGTGAAAATGAGAAGAACAGAAAAGTACACTTCACTCTTTTTTGAAAGAATAAGAAAAAGAGACGATCACTATGCGATTGCCGTCAATGGTTGGTTTCAATATGTGTATTTGTAAGAAATTGTTTCAATTGGAGAAAAGAACACGAAAAAATAGTAAGAAATATATAACGTAGAAATTTGTATGTTCATTTTTCGAAGAAGAAAATCTTTCATGATTGATTTGCATGTCTTGTTTCTTTATAACTGTGTATGAACCGACTCTCTCTTAGGTGAAGATCAATGAATTCTAAAACTGCGTCAGAGGTAGAACGCGAACCATTTATCGTCTCTTTTGCTGGAAAAACGGCAAACTTTTAAATTAGAGGGTGAAGCAATCATTACTAGGACTCTCGCTGATCACGACGCTCCTGTACACAACGATGGTTGTTTATATAAAAGATATTTAGGTAAAGCAAGGATAAAAGTAATTAATCGATTCCATCAATTAAGCCGGATGGTCTCAAGTGAGGTTACTTGAGTCCACTGGATGTTTCAGCAACCTGGGACAAAGATATTAATGGAGATTAACTGACTTTTCTTGTCACAACTGGAACTGTCTGCGTCCTTGTACGTTAAGTAAGCAGTGCTTACACTAAAGTAGATATACATAACTTTTTTTATGAGGAACACACCTCATAGCATCAATGGACGGGAAACGTTTTCTGCTAAAAATGGCCCAATAAGATTTTGAGTAAAAATGACTAGAAATGCTTCTATTTTCACTTCCTAACACTTCTGGCTTTCAAAAATTGCTCCTAACCCTTCAAACCTTAAGTTTAACTGACTGATTGGCAAAATATCGAACGGATAGAAAACTAGAAAAATCTGCAAAATAGCAGCAGAAATGTCTTTGGGGGCTTGTTGTCTATATAAGGCAACTGGACGAGAAAATGTTATGGAGAGCTCGGAGACCTCTTATGTTCCTCAGAAATGTTTACTCTATCCAACTAAACTATTAACACAAAACTACCGATAGAAGCTAGGATACTTGAAAGTAGGCCGCTGGATTTTTCCCAAATCCTGGATTTTAAACATTTTGAGAAAACCTTTGTATACGCTTCATCGCATAGAAAAATGTTTCAGCTGCTCAAAGCAATCTTTAGTATTATTTTAGCTGTCGTGGTTGACGATAAAAGTGAGAAAAAGAAAAAACTCAGTTTTGTCATGTACTTTAAGTAACGATAGTCATAATTGTATAGTATTTAGTGTAGAAATGTATGAAGGCATATGTTTACCAAAATCTAATGTATTTCAGTTTGAAGCTTGTTATTTCCTGCATTTTCTTGTATGAAAGCCATTCCGGGTCTCCCCATATATACACCACTGTACTTCATTCAGAGTCCTGCCACACGTTCAGCCCACTGTATGCGTTCGGTATTTTGCCAATCAGTCTGTTAAACTTAAGGTTTGAAACAGCTCAATAGCTTATTTTGTAGCCTTTTCAATTCTGCATTTCTTCAAATACAAACTATTCCTAATTTCTATTTGTGAAAGAAACTGTGATTGTTTTTATATATCACTATGGGTAAAAATCGAGATATCTATCTAGTATTTGACCAATAAAACTATGAGGACAAGCTTCTAAAACAAAATAATGTAGTTAATTTTGAAGCGCAGAAAATTCTCTACCTTTCTATATACAAAACATTCCGGGTCTGAGTAGAAGCATCAAAGAAGTGTTCCTTTAAAGTGTCAGGATGGGTGAAAATCATGACATCTGTCTAGTATTTTGACAATTGTTCTATGTGCGCATATGTTTGAGAAGCTTGTTGATAGCTCGTTCTGAAGCGCGAAAAATTCTCTATCTTTCTATGTATAGGCTTTGGTCAAAGTCTTTGAAAGCGTACGAAAAATTTGAGAAACAAAGTGAATGACCTTCATTTAACTGAAGATGAAAACTGGTAAGAAATAATGTTTTCAAGGAGATTAGGAGCAATTTTTGAAAGCCAGAAGTGTTGGGAAGTGAAAATAGAAGCTGAATATCCTTTGAATAGTGCTTATAAATCAGTAAAACACTAAACATGGAATCTATGTGATTTTTCAGTTCTTTTAACATTTGTGGTCAATGTTGAAATTTCAACATCCCTTCCATATCAAAACGAAGCACCACAAGCGTCCTCAGATTTAAGGCATGAGACAGAGACTTGAATGACCGTGCATTGAAGCTAGGTCAAAAGAAGTTTGATAAATCTTACAATATTTCATAGTTTAAATCCTGTTGGTGAGTAGGACCTTTTTTGCTTCATAATTGAGACCACTTTATTAACGTGTCCATTAATTAAATTTAAAAAGTTGTTCAATTTAGATTGGTAAATTTTTTAATGGAAAAAAGCGGTCTCAATCTGGAATGGAAAAATTCTCTCTTTTCTTATAGAAATCATATGTAATCTCAATATGGAATAGAGAATTTGTTATTTCATACACATGTTTACACCGTTTATATTTTAACAAGACCAACAAACCGAACAATTATGCTCTAGATTCGTAGTCATTGTAATCTTTTGTAATAGACGAAGGAGCAACCAATTAATTGCATCATCTTTATTGTTAGTGGGCACGTATATGAACCGACTCTCTCTTAGGTGAAGATCAATGAATTCTAAAACTGCGTCAGAGGTAGAACGCGAACCATTTATCGTCTCTTTTGCTGGAAAAACGGCAAACTTTTAAATTAGAGGGTGAAGCAATCATTACTAGGACTCTCGCTGATCACGACGCTCCTGTACACAACGATGGTTGTTTATATAAAAGATATTTAGGTAAAGCAAGGATAAAAGTAATTAATCGATTCCATCAATTAAGCCGGATGGTCTCAAGTGAGGTTACTTGAGTCCACTGGATGTTTCAGCAACCTGGGACAAAGATATTAATGGAGATTAACTGACTTTTCTTGTCACAACTGGAACTGTCTGCGTCCTTGTACGTTAAGTAAGCAGTGCTTACACTAAAGTAGATATACATAACTTTTTTTATGAGGAACACACCTCATAGCATCAATGGACGGGAAACGTTTTCTGCTAAAAATGGCCCAATAAGATTTTGAGTAAAAATGACTAGAAATGCTTCTATTTTCACTTCCTAACACTTCTGGCTTTCAAAAATTGCTCCTAACCCTTCAAACCTTAAGTTTAACTGACTGATTGGCAAAATATCGAACGGATAGAAAACTAGAAAAATCTGCAAAATAGCAGCAGAAATGTCTTTGGGGGCTTGTTGTCTATATAAGGCAACTGGACGAGAAAATGTTATGGAGAGCTCGGAGACCTCTTATGTTCCTCAGAAATGTTTACTCTATCCAACTAAACTATTAACACAAAACTACCGATAGAAGCTAGGATACTTGAAAGTAGGCCGCTGGATTTTTCCCAAATCCTGGATTTTAAACATTTTGAGAAAACCTTTGTATACGCTTCATCGCATAGAAAAATGTTTCAGCTGCTCAAAGCAATCTTTAGTATTATTTTAGCTGTCGTGGTTGACGATAAAAGTGAGAAAAAGAAAAAACTCAGTTTTGTCATGTACTTTAAGTAACGATAGTCATAATTGTATAGTATTTAGTGTAGAAATGTATGAAGGCATATGTTTACCAAAATCTAATGTATTTCAGTTTGAAGCTTGTTATTTCCTGCATTTTCTTGTATGAAAGCCATTCCGGGTCTCCCCATATATACACCACTGTACTTCATTCAGAGTCCTGCCACACGTTCAGCCCACTGTATGCGTTCGGTATTTTGCCAATCAGTCTGTTAAACTTAAGGTTTGAAACAGCTCAATAGCTTATTTTGTAGCCTTTTCAATTCTGCATTTCTTCAAATACAAACTATTCCTAATTTCTATTTGTGAAAGAAACTGTGATTGTTTTTATATATCACTATGGGTAAAAATCGAGATATCTATCTAGTATTTGACCAATAAAACTATGAGGACAAGCTTCTAAAACAAAATAATGTAGTTAATTTTGAAGCGCAGAAAATTCTCTACCTTTCTATATACAAAACATTCCGGGTCTGAGTAGAAGCATCAAAGAAGTGTTCCTTTAAAGTGTCAGGATGGGTGAAAATCATGACATCTGTCTAGTATTTTGACAATTGTTCTATGTGCGCATATGTTTGAGAAGCTTGTTGATAGCTCGTTCTGAAGCGCGAAAAATTCTCTATCTTT